ATCAATTGATAACTTTGATCTTAAATATTACTGCCACAGTTCCTATGGCTTATGCTTCCAACACGCAGTTTGAAAATCCACGGGCCACAATATAGATTGATTTTAAGTCTAATATTTTATAATAGAGTCTAGATCTGTAAACAGTATGTATATCAACATCTTTTAAAGTAGCAAATTATATACAACTGAGTAGAACAACAATTAACTGTTCATACAACTTAGGCAATAATAAAATAACATAAATTTAAAAATGTTAATAATTAAGTGGTTTTACATTGAGACTAATGATTGTTATGATTAAGTATTCTTATTTTAGATGCTGTTATCCACAATATTGGATGCTTAATAAAAAAAAATTCTATATCTGAGTTTGTAAGATATGAATGATAAAAAAACTATATAAATAAAAGAAATTTGCATAGTTTAGCCGCTTAAAAGTCCACTTTAACTAATTTGACAATGACAAACTATACATGCACTGGAAGGAAATTTAGTTTAGTTTACTCTGAAACAATTGTTAATTACCTAACTTAAACATGTTTTTAGTTATCGTTTCCTATTCAAGAGAAAAAAATAATTATTTAAAAAAAAAACAAAAAAAAAACACTTAAATTTCCTGAATTTCTACACAAAATTAGATCACATTATGTATAAAATGTTGGCTCTTGAAGACAACAATTACCTTCTTAAATGTTTCTCTTTACTTATGGGATATCCTGTATAATATAAACTAAATAATGTGAAAATAGGTAACTTTCAGGAGACCAAAAAGTCACCACGTTTTAGATTAAACTTCTTTATAATTAAAATTCTTCTTAATACTGAAATATTAACTATGAAATAGTTGTCCACTTCAAAACCTACTGCTTAATATACTCAATTGCTTCAATCAATTAACAATAGAATAACTCTCTAAAGAACATGAAGTCAGGCATTCTGAAAAGGATCAACCTTGGAACAGTAACTGACACAATACAGCATCAGCGAGAGGTTGCTAATTAGACAGAGCCAATTAGTTAGATCTCTTTGTCAGCCATACCTACCATTTTGTACTCAACGTTAGAAACATTTTAAAAAAATTCTTCTTTTTTTTTATTTAAAAAATAAAGTTATGGGCAGCACTAAATTGACATTAATATGTGACATGATACGATATGTGATATGATGACAGCAATGACTCAATGTAATTCAAAAAATAACAAAATTATTTATTCAATGAACAAGCCAATACTTAATTGACGATTTGAATGAAAGGATCCTTGGTAGTATTAACATGATAAAAGACATCTTTGGATATAATACTTTAAAGTAACTTGTATTGAGATCATTGCGGCATTATTAATAAAAATCTAAATAAAGGAGGTTACATATTTTTTAAATGTTTACGAATTCAATTTCTATAGAAAATTTAACTAAACTTCAATCTCCAAGTTGCCCTGCAGATTTAGAATAAGAAAAAATGAATATCTTTTTAAAATTTATCAACAAACACAAAACAAACTTCCCATGCAAATTTTATATGTAAATTATAAATTTAAATTTTGAAAGCTAATACATGCAAATTTAAAGAAAATAACCAAGACAAAAAATATAAGGTTACACGAAATTCAGTAATTCCAGACAATAGGCAGTAGGCAAAATATTTAAGTCAAATACATATGAATGATTCAGATTTGAAATTCTTTTTCATCTTCAATATTTTTCAAATTATGTCTAAGACAAAGTGTATTCATAACTAAGCTGATATTCAATTTAAAAATAAATAAATAATTGCGAACATTAAATGGTTTGACAATGTTTCTTTGTGGACTCGAGAGTTCTTCTGGAAACCCAGAAATGGAGAGATACAGCAGCAGACCTACAGATTAGCACAGGCTGTTGGAGGAGACCTAGGCTCGGTGATGAGCTTAGCATCAATCAAGATGATGAGGATGATAATAGGAAAAAATGAAGTTAACTTTCTGAGTCTTATATTTCTACGAATATACGAGCATCTCTCAATTTGCGTATTAAATTGGTCATAACATATAAATGGATGGCATTCAGCATAATAGAACTAATCCATATTAATATCCATATAGTAAACTCAAATCAAATATTGCTATCATATCAACAGATTTATCAAAAATTAAATTTACTGTGGTTCTTTGTTTAAATACAGAAAAAATTTCTATATTTAATTAATTTTCAAATTCAATTTTCCATTGAGAATACTTGAACTAAGAAAAAGTTCTCTACTGTTAAAATAGTAGTTGTAGATCCCATGCATAACAACTTTAATACATATTTGCATACTTTTTAGATCAGTTGTTACCGGCTAAATACTGTCTAAATGTGCCCACAGTTGGAAAAAAGGTATAGCATTCTACTAATATCATTTTCACTCCAATAAACAAGTTTAAAAACTAAAAATCAGCGAGTTTTAAATAAAAAATAAAATAAGATAAATAAATAGGAACATTCTCACAAAATATAACGCTTTTATAATATGCTGTTCAACTGAAGGAATCAATCACTCTAGATATTGAACAATTTGATAATTCTTGATTTTATCACACACGTGTTCTTCCATTCACTTTAACACAAGAACCCAATCAACCCACTTAAATACTCACTGATAAAAGTGCTTCTTTTGAAAAATTCTTCATTTGAGCCAGATGCTCATCTAGACATTTTTTGTCATGTCCTCCATTAAAAGCTCCTATCTATCCTTCCTTCAATTTATTCATCTATCTCCTCAGTTATCGTACCTCTACATCCTTTTAAATATAAATTATTTTTTCTCAATTGTTTTTATAGTTCATTTGATTTGTCTTTTAATTTTTTGAGCTGTTTTATTTACAAACAATAAATAATCTCTGTCAGTAAAGAGAGCCAGACTAATGTACCATTACCCACACATTTGTATGAATTCTAAGAAATGGATGTAGGAACACTAGATAAGAATATTTGTCATTGTATAATTGTAAGGATGGCTCACAGAGTAAGGCACAGTTCTCCTATTCTCCAAGTCCTAGGTGCGCCAGCTAATCATTTACTCTGTCCTATCAGCTGTAGCTCAACCCTGGGGTCAGGAGACCCTTATGGGTCATATCTCTATACAGTGAGGAAAACTAAGTGGTAGAGCAGGAACTCGGTCAAATCACCTCTTTCGAAACTTTTTTTTCTTTCCTGTTCCTCCTACCTCGCCTTTTAGGCAATACAGGGTTTTCCAGGGCCAGGAGTTGAAGGCAGGGAATTAATGCTAGAGATAAAAAACTCATTGGCACTGGGACGCGAACCCATACTTATTTTATTCCGTATAACTTCGGTTATCAGGTCGCCGGGCAATGCGCGGTGCTGTGCACACATGTTAGCCCGCTCAACCACCCCACTTCCTTATAATATTGGATACCAAATATTTAATAGTTGACCGTTGCATTATAAAGGAGATGGTCGGGGGTGGTGGTCATAAATAAGCTAAATAGTGGCAAAACTATTTTATTAAAACCCAACGTTTCGACCCAACTTTACAGGTCTTCTTCAGGAAGCTGTGTTCAGCTATGAGTTCCACATAGAGCTGAAGTTCTAAGTTTCACTAATTTATTTAGAACTCAATTCTAAGTGAAACTCGTAGCTGAACACACCTCCCTGAAGAAGACCTGCAAAGTCGGGTCGAAACGTTGGCTTTTAATAAAATAGTTATGCCACTATTTAGCTTATTTATCACCGCCACCCCGGACCATCTCCTTCCTTCTTACAGTTATGAATATCGGAATTTGGGAAGAGTGGTGCAGTTGAAACTAAATTATTTACTAAATGCTAGCCTCAATTTCCCAACTATTTTTAATTAGAAGTAGGTATAACATAAAGTGAATTCAGATTCTTTTGAAATTAGGCTATCAAAACTTTAAAGTACATCTATCTGCAAAGTATCTCACTAATTTTGAGTTGAAATCCATATTAAAAATACTATTCTTTGATAGTGTACAGTGACTTGACAGTAATTTTTTTCCCCCTCAAATAGACATTCCTTCAATAATTGCTAATGTCCATTTCGTTAAAAATAGAATAGTCCCTATCATTTTAAATAGAATTTTTAACAAACAGTTCACTTTTTTATTTTAAAAATGTATAGAATTGAAAAGCATCCCATAATGTGATGTCGAATATTCAATCTTTCAAGGAGGAGGCTTTTTTATTTATTTCAGAATGTAAACAAAGAGCATTCTCCACATTATGTATTATTGTAGATGGCAGTGCATTAACTTAGGTAATCCAATCCAATGAATCGCCGTATGTATTCTGTTAATCAAAGTAGGAAATAGATGATTTCCTCAGACTCAAACTTCAAGTGTTCTGTTTTCTTGAATATTACTTACAAATGCTTTCTAGACAAATATCGGTATATCACAAAGGTTTTATTTATTTTTTTCATTAAATTGATATAGTTAAATATTTAGGCGTAAAAGGATACATAATAATTCAATTAAATCAAACTGAGAATGAAGACCCCAGAAGAGATCTATTTTTGTCTAAAATCACAACCATTTTTTTTTTTGAGGAAAATTGCAAAATAGATCAACAAAATATTTTGTATTTTAAATCTACTACTCAAGATCGGCATAGATCGTTTGAGATCTCAGTTTCCCCTTAAAAAGAAAAGAATAAATCTGGTTCGTAGTGATCAAATATAATTTTTAGTTTCAAATGAAATTGCTACTCATAATTTTTATTTATTTTCATTGATTAAAAAAAAATTAATCATTCAATCAAAAATTAAAATTGTGCTCTTTATAACCTATACCTATAATGATTTAAAGAATTTTCATTTTCTAAAAAAAATCAAAGGCGATAGAACATTCTTCTATGTAACTATAAAATACTGGCTTATAGGTGTTGATGAATAGTGGATTTTATGCCTACAAACAAACAATACTAGCTTAAACATGTTAGTGATTATTGGGTAGCTTAAACATTGGGTGATTATTCATTGATGGGTTCAACTGAGATATAAATAATTAATGGTACTCACAGAAATAGTTAAGCGTTTCCCGAATCTGTTCAGGAGTGAGGGGTGATACGTCTTCAGGCTTCAATGAGGGGCAATACCAATCATCGTTCTCATAACCTAAAATCAAAATCGGATTTAAATTAAAAATACAATTAAAGGTGTAGATACAGTTTTTAAAGGGAAGCTTAAGAACAAATTAATATAGCTTAAAACTTTTAAAGATGGATTTATAAATTAAGTATTATCAGGATAGAAAAAAAAAGATTACATATATGCAGAACAAATAAATCATTTCTCACATCACCAGTCAAATAAAAATTCATCAACTATATACCATGCGCTACAACCACACAGCTATACTTAATAAGTATATTTCATCTAAGAGCCGGGAAGTTAAGAGTTTGGTGCTTTACTCATAGAGCTGACTGCTCTGAAGGAAAACATACCAACAGATTTTCGGCTAACACATTGCACAGTACCGTAACTTATTCTAATGTAAATTCCAAAAAATAAATATTTTTAAAATAAGATGATAAAAAATAAGTTTTCTAGTTTTATAATTTTTAAATAAATTTTGACAAATATTGGTTCAAAAACTTTTAAATATTTGAAACTGTTGGTATCGCGTCTTAAAATTAATTAACAGTAAAAGCAGTGGGAAATCAACTAGAGATACAAATGATTTGGCTGATTTATTTCTAATATTTTCAATAATAATTTATTAAATAAACTACAATCAATTTTACATAAAAATGTTTATGTATCAACGCATATCTGATTATCAACATATTTATATAATGTTATCTTCTTAACTGATGGGACATATGGATGAAGATCATACATAACATTTTTTTGGCCTATGAGAACTGAATTCAAATTTCCTTTATCCACTATAAGGAAGATGTGAATCCTCATTAGGAACATTTATCAACTCAGTTTTAAATTAAATATATAATTTATGTAAATATCAATTTATGTAAATTGAAGGAGGATATATTGAAAATATATCTTTTCACAACTTTATATTTTGAAATAATAAAATTTAAAAAAAATGGTAATTACCACCTTCACCTACTAGTCCCTTTTAATAATTATTTCCATATGGATTATGTGTCCCAGAGGTAAATGACTCCACGTCCATTTTTTAATAGCTCATAATTATGGAAAATTGGCTCCCCGAAAAAAACAAAAATATCACATGCTGTTATTAGCTCAAAGTAATAGGAAATTGGATACTCTGAACAAATACAAAAATTGACATGGCGTTCTTTACCTCTGGGCTACAGAATTAGATAACGGTAATATTGGGTTGGCAAATGAGTCCTTTCAGTTTTTATGGGTGAAATAAAACTCAATGTATTATAGACATAAAATTTATTTTAATCTACAATATATTGACTATTATTTAATATGACTCTTCCCATCATTCCACCAATTGCATAATGCCCTGTTCATGGAATGTCTGGAGTTCATTGTTAAAAAACTGATCCAAGTAGTTTTTGAAGTTCTCTTCCTTTTGGAATTTCTTTCCATTCATGGAGCGCTGCAGAGACCGGATCAAGTAGTAGTCACTTGGAGCTAGGTCTGGTGAATAGGGAGGGTGGGGAAAAACATCCCATCCAAGGCTCAATAATTTATTGTGAGTGACCAATGAGGTGTGGGGTCTAGCGATGTCTTGGTTCAACACCCTTCCGATCATTCTTATTTCTTAAGGATGTTCCTACATCCGTTGGAAAGCTGAATTATTGCTCTTCAAAGCTATATACATGGATTTTTTATTTAATGACTACATAAAGAATAAATAAACAAAAACTCCTTATAAGGTTTTATTTTTTATCTTGATTTGTATTTTGTTTACGAAGGTCCTGTTGATGTCATTTTGTGTAGTTTATATGGGCCTAAATTCCTGCTAAATTTCTTGCAGATAGCTAAAGTCGTATTGAAGTTATAACATTTTTTGTGATTTTCGAAAAAAGAAAATCATGTGAGAGACCTACACATTAAGCCTGGAAACATAGCCGAGGTTGTGCAAATGGTTTTCTTATGCTTGAGTGTGACACATTTAGGACCATAGCAATCTCTCACACTGATTGGATGGAATTTTGATCAACAATGGCTTTAACATTGCTCATATCAATTTCATGTGGGTGACCAGACCGTTAAGCATTATTGATATAAAAATTTCTTGAATGAAATTTGACAAACCAATTTTCACAGGTAGGTTCGGTCAAGGCATCATGAACACTGCCAATTTTTCTATGAGATTCTGCAGCACGCTTACCTTTTTTAAAATAATAAAACAAAATATAGCTATAATGAATGATATTTTCTTCCATATTCACAGTGTAATAGCAAACACAATAATAAGCTAGTTTCAACAACAGTTAATAGATATAGTTGTTGAAATATTACAAACAGAATAAACGATCCACCTTAGGGATTAATTTATCACATAGGAAGTGTATCATAGTGACAGAAAAATCTGAAGGACTTATTTCCTAACCCAATAGTTATGGACATAAACCTTACAAAGAATAAAATAATTAACTAATAAAAGTAACTATTTACCTGAAAACGATGTGAGAGTATCAGCTCTGAGTTTGTACTTAGGGATCTGTTCTTCGAGAAGACTAATAATCTCTACCTCCGGCAGCTCCTCCCCGCTGCACACGTCTGTTAGAGAAATTAGAAAAAAGTTTATTAACAATCAGTGTTAACTGACACAATAATTATTCAGATATTTTGTAGAATTTGTATTGATAGTAATATTCATATATGATTTTGGTGAATCACTGACTGGTTTATAATAAACATAAACTTTTTATAAAACTGAAAGTTGTCATTCCAAATGGAAGTGGAACTTAATCATAGTTTTATAACAAGAACCGTAATGAGATTTTAATAATGGTAACTCAAGTTAGCAAAAGACTTAAGTTTGACAGAGGGCAAGTTTAATTATATAAACTAGCGGCCATCAAAACTATTAAATTACATTAACATGAGATATGAATTATGTTATGTTGCCATTTTTAGGAATGAAATATATTACAACTTTTTTTTTATTAAGGAATGTAAAGAACAAAATCATATATATATATATATATATATATATATATACACATATATATATATACACTAATAGTCACTAATTAAAAAAGCAAAATTCATAAATACTTTTACACATCAGAACTCATCAGCGTTTTACTAAATGATAAAAGCAATGTTTTTATTTTATAAAATATTTCTGTTCAATGTTAAAAGGAACGAACCTATTAAGTTCTAAATAGTAAAAAAGTTCTAATTTTTTATTATGCTTTGGTTTAACAGAATTAATTTTACATGCATTTAAAATTTTTATTTGTTTCTAATAATGATTAAACATTGGACATTTTATAACTAAATATAAAATGTTTTCGAGTTTAAAAGTAATAAAACTAATAAGGGCAAGGTGTCAGATGCTGATTTCTACCAAGATTAATTTGGTCATTCTAGATTGTTAAAAATTCAACGAATGATCGTTTCTCCCAGTTGGCCTCAGAACCTGAGAAAGAAAAAACACTACACGTTGAAACTGCTTTATTATATACTTTATTATTTATTATATATGCATTTTATGAGAATAACAATCATTAAATTAGCAACATTTTTGCAATCTTTACAGGAAAAGATTCAAGGAACATTAAAAAAATATAATAAATAGTCAAGGAATCATAAAAAAACAAAACAAAAAAAACTAAAGAACAAAGGATAATAATTTCAGTTAGTAGATCATAAACATTGTTAGACAATTTTACCAACATGAAAAGTGCAAATATCAAGGTAAAGATATTTTTGTTAGGTACTGTTGCACTTGGTATCAACCAAATAAAAGGGGAAGATATAATAAATATTCTTTTATTTGCAAATAACACATTAGTTGTTCATAAAAATATAATATAATAGAAATTACCTATTTCACATACAACAGCAATCTCAAAACTAAAATATCCTATCCTAAAAGGTTACAAATATCTCTTTTCATAATCTAATAATTTACAATCACGTGATCTGGAAGAATGATTCACCACAAACAGACAGAAAGAAATAGGAATATTTGCAATCAGAAACATTATCTTGCTGCTAGGAAGGGTCAACTGAATGGATTTTAATCTTCTTTTGAAGCTTTATCAGGCCATGCCACAACTTGAATACAATTTATCTTTGAGGTAACACACAGATATCATCATTGATAACCATAAATAAAAAATAATGAATGGATAAATACAAACAAGTGAATAAAACAACACAACAGCAATATTATAGCCAATCCAATTTTTCTGCCAGACTTGAACAAAACTGGTTCACATAATAAGATTAATTAAAGAGTAAAATTAACCTTAATTTATTTTGAGAAAATGACGGAAATGTGTAATATTATTACAGTTTTGGTACAGTTCAGTATTGCTCTAGTTTTCTAAAAATCCTAGATATTTTGTTATGCAGAAATATTACCTACTTGGCAGCTAGATTTTATTTTTTCACTTCACTAGTTGACTATTACAAAGCACTTGAAAGGATAATATAAGTTTTTCAATATTTCCAAAAATTACAAATCTATGAACTATGATTAAAAAATAGCTAAGCCTTTCAGACATCATCAATGAATGTAGGAGTTAATAAAAAAAATAAAATAATTCTCCATAAAAGTCCAACAACTTATGAAGTTGTATTTGAATTAAAAGAAACACAGAAGCCATTCTATATTAAAGGGTAAAACAATTAAATTTAGAGTTTTGTGTTAACGGAGATTAATCTAATATAAATAATACATTTATTTTGTCTTTATCACTTCCTTAATAAAAACTAAAATTTGATGACAAATGATTGAAGATCAACAAAGGGCCTGAAGACTCAATTCTTCAGTTAGGATTATTATTTTGTATGTAATAACTAAATAGTATTTAAAAAATAAATCATGTTTGATCTACCTTGATGGAACATTGGGCAGTTAAGTGGATACTTAAGCCTGAGCCTAAGCCAGTTCTATTATTGGTTATGCATTTCCTTCATCAAGAACTGTTTGGTTTCAAGTATAATGTTAACACTTTGAATCACACCAGAACACAAGCACTACACAATCACAGAGCGACTGCCCGGTTATGACTAAATTAACATTTTTCCGCCAGATCCCTTATCTCTGATATGAGATAACAGAGGCATCTGACTGGCCTGGCCTCTGACATTGATGGGGAGAGGGGTCTTTTGTTATATGATAATTATGTTGACATTTAGGAAACAGTTTTCTATATTGATTTATGCAGGTCTGTAAATAAATTTCAATGGCACTCACTGAGGTTGAAGTTAGTTACCATTCTCCACTAAATCAAAGAAGAATTTCTGTGGGAATAATCAATAAACATATTGAATTAATGTATTAATTTGAGGCAAGGTTAATGATATTCTTCAATTATTATTGCATAACAATATACATAAAATTAATGACTAGCAACCTCATGGTTTCAACTGCTTTTACTGAATTGTAATAATAACAAAGGATTGATAGCCAATAAAAATTTAAAAAGCAGGAACAAATTAGGGAATAAATGTCATACTGGAATATAGTAATGTATAAAACAGCACAAACTTTAAGAAACTGGAATTACTAATAAATTTTTCTTTTGTCAGAAACAAAACTTTTCTGTGACAGCGCATAAAAATAACAATGTTGGGTGGAATTGAGTATATCTACCTGAATCATTTCTATCCTAATGTTTAACACTTTAATTTTAATTTTCTAACACTTACGACTAATTACTGATACTTTGAATACAATTATTAATCATTTTGTCAGCTGTTACGCCCTAAGAAAATGGCAGAACAACAGGTAAACAACATTTTAATAGTTTAATTAGCTATTGATATTTTTTTTTTTTATTCTATACAGGATTTTATGTATTAAGAATACAATATTTTATTATGTAATATTTATAAGTTTCATTCGCTACTCGAGTTTATGAAGGACTTTAAAATTAGTTACACATGTATATACTTTCAATTTACAAAAATTACTTGAAAATGTGGTAACTTGACATTAAGAAGCCTTTTTTAAAAAAAAAAAAAGTCCGATCAACAGAACATTACGATAAAAAAAATGTAGACGGAAAATCAGCTTACAGAAAAATGTTGATTAACTAACAAACAAAATGGGATAGTGGACAATGCATAATAAATTAATTAAAGTTAAAGAAAAAATAATTAAATATTTGCAGTGACATGGCATGTCATAAGATCTCCAAATAGTATCTACAAAATATCCAAAATTAAAATTTCCATACAACATTCATCAGGTGTTAATTTCAGAAAGTTTAACAGAAAAAACAATAGAAACACCTTGAAATTCATGAATACTGATCAATAAAATATTTTTAAACAAAAGAAAATAAACTGCTGAATTATTAATTCTTATTAAGCCTGTTTCCATGGATGCTCCCCTACCTTGACTCCAGCTGTCCAGTATCTCCTCTTCTTGCTGCAACTTCCTTCTCTTTCTCAGCCTCTTCCGGAGGGTCTGGTCTGACCAAGGAAACATCGCTCTGTTCAGCGAAGGATCAGTGTCTCTTTCTAACGGACACTTTCATCATTAGTCCTTTTATCACAACACAGTAAACAGTCCATTCCACAATTCAGCAGCACCAGCAACCTTATCAGCTCTCACTGCTACACTTCTATTTACCCTCCCACCAATAATGATAATAAGCAAGACAAACAAATAGATCAAAGCTAGTGCACAGGAATGTTATCATTAGGTGAGCAAATAAACCTTTAATAGTTGTAGGTCTATTTTGGGCTAATAAACAATGGCAAATAAAATACAATGAAGCTATAAAGGAAACAGGAGATGAATGGGAGATACTGAGGAATAAAAGCCCAGCTGATGAGAGGGAAGATGTGTAGAAAATAGAAAAGAGGAAAATTGGATGGTCTCCAAGAACGCCATGGTGGGGGGGACAGATGTGCGTAGCCGGGGTGCACTCACCAAACCTACTATTAATACTCTATTTAGCCTCATATCCACAGCATAATGGCTCCCCCATTAATTACTGCCTGTGCCTCGGCCAACCAGCTAATTCATGATCCCACCTCAGCAGTCAGACTGCCAGCAGTGAGCCTTATATTATCATGCTTATATAAATGCAGACCAACATATTCATCTTACATTAAAAAAAAATGTTTCTATCTGCACATTGTTGTCTTATTTTTTAAGAGATTGTTTTTATGCGGCCCCTTTTCATAACGGAAAAATGATTCAAGTGTATCAATAAAATATGTTTCGATACACAGTTAAAACTCATAATACACAGTTTAGATACATTTATCTATTGATAATGATATCTATAGAATTAAAATGATTAGAACATGAAATTGTTTTTTTTTTTTCATTTAGTAACAAATTAAAGCTGCAAAACTTTGATGAGTTGTACAGAAAATGCTTTGGAATATAATAACGATGAATAAGAAAATTGAACTTACTAATGTATTTAAATTAAACCAAAACAAAGTGAGAAGCAAAGCATTGATAGAAAATGGTATATATCCATTGCCAAGCTGAGGCAGAAAATATGAACTATTGGGTGTAATGAGTCAGCATGGACACAATTATGTTTAAAATTTAAGCTAATGTTTAAAAACAAGATAAAGTGAGGTTTCATTTAATGGCTACTCTGCTTGAGAAAACACAAGCCATCAAGACATTCTAAAATGATAAGATTAAGCTTACAACTGCTTCACTGCAACTAGTATACTCATCAAGTTTTTATTTACATAATTGTAAAACTTATGCAGCCAAATCTTCATATATTAAACTTTATTCAAATTTCTTGATAAATTTATCATGAATAGAAAATTCTAATTATCCATACCAATGTATTTGATTCAAGATATTTTGAATATACACTCAAAGTAGTGTTCAACATCATGTTATCATACAATATTATCATTTTTTCTATCATCTAAGATATTGGTTTAGTTTCAAATCAAGTTATTAGAACATAAACGTTTCGAAATATATAGACAAGGGGAAAAAAAAAAATCAACATTTTCAAAGTAAATATTTGAATTAAAGTTTGAATGTGTAAATTTCGAAAATAATTATTTTTTTAGCAGTAAAGTAATAAGTTATATATAGTAAAAATGATAAAAAATGAAGTTACCTGTGATGGTTTGTGCGTCGAGGGTAAGGGCTGTAGGACGAGCATTCTGCTTGTCCGCCAGCTTGGAAGGAACAGGCTGAAAAAATAAATACAATGTAAAATAAATAATAAAAAAGTATTTTTATGAAACTATTAGAAAGGAGATTTGAAAAGAATCAGTCAAAAAGTAATGTTAAGTACAATAAACAAAATACATAGTGAAGAACCACAATTTTATATCAAAGAATTTACCATAATGGCAGTGATTCTTTAGGCTAAGCATAAAATCTATGACACCTGTGAAAAATGTGTTAATTACAATTTTATTGTATGTACATATTGTGTGAATGAATCATGTAGCCTTAATATTAATGCCCTTCAATGTGGCAGAATGTATTAATATTCAATAAAGAAAGTTAAAATCTGAAATCTTAATATCTGAATTACAATTTTGTGAATTTTATGGGTATCACTAAAAAAAATACCTTTCTCTCTCTCTTTTTTTTTGCATGTAATGAGCTGTTACAGAAATGAACATACTTTCATGAGTTGAAACTCGAAAATTAAACTTGCACCCATCAAAATACTAAACTTTCGTTTTTTCATAAGTATGATTTTTGCACTTAACACCTATGAACAAGTGCCACAGCCACACAAATATACTTTCTCAGATAAGAAAAAATAACATTTTTATTGTTTGATTTGAAAAATAATTAACACAGAAAGATGATGAGATAATCTATTTGAATATTCTTAATAATATTAAATCAAAGATGTACAAAAACATATTTAAAGAAATAATGAAACATGAACTTCAAGTTTAAGAAATTCAAATGCGTTCATTATATGGCGGTCGCCCGCTATTCTATTCAATTAATATCGGCGTGATTCTAACGTTGATTTCGAGGACAAGAATTCAGTAGGTTCAGTTTTTTATTTTATTTATTTTTTTTTTTTTTTTAGATAACACCTATTTTTTAATAACGGTAATTACTTAAGAGAACAAAAATCTATATGAAATGATGTTCAGTGGCCCTTAAGAGTAAAAGAAAAAGGTAAATAAAGGAACAATAATGCTTTCAGAGATAAATTTTTTTCTTGACACGTACTTACGTTCAGTAGCTGTATACGGATTACAATTTAAATAGAGATTATATTACAAGATTGTTTAAGAATTTAGTTTAGACCATTCACATAAACGAATGTGGAACAATGGAAAAAAAATATTATATGTTTGGGGAGGGGAAGTTTCAGCCCGAAAGTTCTCCACATCCCTAGATCCGCCAGAGCAAGAACTCCCTCCGTTGAAGTTTCACTAATCATATCTATTACTGAATAGTTTATACTGTGTATACTAATTGATACATTTGGTTGTGGAAAGCTGACCTGAGGGAGAAGCAGGGATACTAAACGGTCTTCCATCAATGGAAAGTCGAATCATAATCCATGAAACATGTTCGGTGTGCTAACTACTGAGAGGCGTTACGAAAAACAATATTGATCACAATTATCACTATTATTTGATATTACATAACAAAAATTAAAATATAAACATTTTAATAAATAAATTAAAAGTGTAGTATTAATCTATTTCATTTTTACGATGTCGTAAGTTCTTCAAATCTTTGTACTGAAAGTTTTTAGAAAAGTTATTTGAAATACTAAATACCAAAAGCATTTTGTATTTAAAAAAAAAAAATCCAAATAATAAATAATTATATTTCATTAAATGGCGCTCTAGAACTATCCCTTAAAAATAAGGTTTATTTTTGTGAGGATAAATTATTTTATTTAATTAATATTATTTCCGAACAACACAAGTGACGCTTTGTTAAATTATTTCATTTTAAATATTGTCTAAGGTGTTCCATAAATTGAATCCTTCGTTTTTCTTTTCTCAAAATATTTGAAAATGTTATTAAAAGAAAAAAGGTATTTTTTTCTTAACAAAGGAAAAACAAAAACCTTTTCCTGTGATAAGAAATCGCGTAAATCTGGATAGTTTTTTTTAAGACTAACCAATTTTATGGTTAAAGAAGTTTTAAAAAATTGACACAAACGATCTTAAAAAATTTCTATGCTCGATTTTCACGAGGGGGAATTCTCGTGCTTACAGCCAACATTGCTATAACACTTGAAGTTAATAACTTTTCAATTCGGTAATTTATTTAGGATACTTAAAATACAAAATAAAATTATTTTCTCATTTTTTTGTATCTTGGGAAGAAAACATGGCTACAAACATATTTTATTATTTAGTTCTATAAATACAAAATTTCAAAGCATGTGTGTATTTTAGTAGTGTGTTTATTTTGATTTGTTTGGTTTCTTTTTGTTTAGATTAATTTATTTTAGTTTATATACATATACTTTTAGTACTATTATTTTGCTGTTTATTTATTGTACATAATGTGAATGAGCAACTCTTATATCACTAATCATCATTGTCTTATATATGACAGAAAAAGTTTTCAGTGAAATACAAAATTATGTATTTTATAACTTTTAATTTTAAATACTGCCCAGGTCTGTTAAAAACAAATCTTGATTCCTTAAAATAGTAACTTGAAACAATATCTAATTACATAGGTACACAAATATTCGTACATATTATATTATCACCTGAAACGAAGCAGCTACATGGTAGTAGGACGGCTTATCACTTCAGACCAATTTAATAAAGAAAACTATTACATATTATATTATATAAACTAAAATTATTTTATATAGTATACGACATCAATGTAATACGCCGGTAAACGTAAAGTTGCGCCACTGATGATAAAGTCCTTTAAGCCCTAGATTGGACTTGACGCAAGCGCGCGAGGACTACAACCTGTGGCTGGTTAAGTCAAAATACAGCTCCTTTCCTATTATATTCTCGATTCAACACAAACAGAAGGGTTATGACCGCAGAACAAATGTTTTCAACACTTGATTTTTATTATAATTCACGAATAAATATTTTCGCTCCAACTGTGCTACAACTACAACTTAGCTCTATCCTCTAGGCTGAAGTTCTGAAATAAAAAAATGATTGTATAATAAGAATACAAAGACCTCTATTTTTAAAATATTTTTTATTCCTCAAATTTACAACTGAATCGAAATAAAAATAAATCTAGCGAATATAAACAGAAAAATATAATGATATATATATATACATACAAGTTCAGCAAGTATTATTACGTTTCTCAGTTTTTTATAAGAATTATTAAATTATGAATTTAAATATTTCTTACATGAATTGTTTTTTCTAAATTGTTTTTATTAAAAATTACATACGAATTCTCATAATTTTAATAGTTGAAGAAAAAACATGTTTCGAAACAAAAAATTAATAAACATTATTAAAAGAATTACCTTAAATGTTAATTTCTAATTAAGTGTTAATTAACACAACCAACTCTTTATATTAATGTGAAATAAAGATAGGAAAATAAATAGAATATATTTGTTTTCCACGAGTTCATTAGTATCAGCATTTTTAGTAACGTCAGAACTAATTTATATATATAAATAACATACCTCCCTGTGAAGGATTTGGAAAAAAAGTTGCAATGAATGCAAATATTTTTAAAATTCAAGTATATAAATAGCTAAAGCGTTTTGACTTTTTGAAAATGATACTATTTATATTGTGAGAAATAACTTTAAAATAAAAATATATATAATTAGAACTCTTAGGTAATAATGAACCTGTATAATAATTGTTTATTATTTTATTAGAACTGTTGTTAATTCCATAAGTACGGACGGTTAAGCGGTATTCTATATTATAAAATAGATCTAAATTATTTTCACGTTAAACGTGAGTCTGAGAATGATTTAACTTAAAGTTTAGGAAAATAAGTAAAGGCCACGACATTACTAAAGCAAAAAAAAAAAAAATATAAAAAATGAATAACTTAAGCAACATTTACACACAAGGATATTAAAATAAAAATTAACAAAAAATACTTGCAAAAGATTGATTTTGTTCGAATAAACTTAAGTTTTAGCACTTTATCACATACATTCTAAACAGCTCAAAAAAGTTCTATTTATTTTCAATTGGAAGATTTATAATTTATTTTATTATTTTACTCTCACTTATCTATATATGTAATATATAGTATGGGAAAGTATTGCGATCAGGAAAATTTTCTAATCTTTTCAACGGAAATACACGTTTTGAGATCTCTTGAGTTCAAATAACCAAGTCCCGCAAAATGGTCTCTGTGTGTATGTGAAAAGTCTAGCTAAAAAACAGAAAGTCGTACAGTTGCGGAATGAACTTAATCTGTAACGAAAAATAATAATAATTTTAATTTAACTTTTATTTTAATAATTGAGTTTGTTAAATATGCCAAATAGTGAATCATGTATTGCATTGACAATTCTCATAAATCAAAGGATAATAGGACAAAGGTATCCCTAGATAGCTAGGGTAAGCTATCTAGAACTAGTAGGGTAAGCTACCTAAGGTAACCTTAGAAATAGTTATCTAGAAGGTACCGGACTGGACACAAGACCTATTATCAAGACTTAGGGAACAATGACATACATACAATACTAAAGGATGAAGACCGCCCTAGACCGCCCAGAATTGCATATGTATATTTCAGTATTTTAAGATGCCATTTGTAACAGACATTATGAATAAAAGTATTACTTATAAAGTCTTCACTGCCTCCGGATTCGTTAACTGTACGAAACTGATATTACGTATTTGAGGTTTGTGCATGACTCATATGTGACAGCAACTTTTTCTTTAAAATTGGCTCACCAGAAGTGCCACTTTATATCGGTGATACACATTTTTACAATTTTCTCAAAAATGGCTGAAACAATTTTGAATAAACTATGTGTATCACTCTATGATTAAGTGGTCTTTAATATAATTTAGGTCTTATCGCCATTGATGTCACTTAACAAGGCTTAAATGTTCAACATGTCTTCCTTTAAAGTACCTATAATTTGGTTTATAATAAATAATTAACTATTTATCATTGTTAGGAGTTATGAAAAAATTCTAAACATAAATTTTAAAAAATTTGATAATTGACTAACGGATAAAATAAGAAAAATGCTTATCCAGTTCGAAAATGAATATCCGGAAATAATAGTCTGAAGGTATAGGTATAATATATCGTTGGATAGCGGAGAATTTGAAAAAAAAAAAATCTAATATAGAAAATTGAAGAAGATAAATGAGAGTGGCGGTAAAAAAAAATTCTAAAAACTAACATTATTTAACGTAAATCACATATTTTCAAGGAAATTAAATGAAATTTTCTTACTAAATGTAAAAAATATATATATTTTTTTCTAAGTTTGAAGCAAAAATTTTAAAATTCACGGAATCAAGGCAATGACTTTGTTTAAGATAGTATTTTATTGTACTTGTGTGTTTTATTTTAACCTTAAATATAACATCTATAGTTTATTAACTCTAGATCTGATATAATATTTAAATTATCAGGTATTTATCGTCCGTTTATTCCAAAAAATCATCATGTTACCTTTTAGATAGTTAAATTAGCGAATAATTTGATGAATTTTCCCTTTGTTATATACAAACCGTATCCACTTGCAATAAGTGTGACAACTTTTCACCTGTTTATGACAGACATAGCAAATTTCATAATTCCACTTTAGTAAACTTTACAATGGAACATTTTAATTACTGAGTTATTAACAGTTTAATAACTAATAGTCGTACAATCAACAATCAACGAATAGTACAATCCATAATCAACCGGTGATATTATAAATTGGATTTTTATTATTTTAAATATTATTTATTACTTGTTAGCTCGGTTAAAAATACAATTCAAAAATTTTATGATAGCCCAGCATGGCCTGAAAATAATTTAATATTTGGGTGAAATATACTTATTTACCCTTACTTATATTATTATACTTATTTAATCCACACAATCCCTCTCTCTCGCCAAAAAAAGAAAAAAACCTTAAAACCACTACCATACAAGGCCAGATGGTTGAACTGACCTCACTCAATTTTGCACTATTTGTGCCCTTCACTAGAGGATAGGCATTTGAATAACCCTGAGTATAAACATGGCACAGGCATATGGTAACGCGAACTGACATTTTAAGGTGGGATTTTGACTAACTGAATATATATAATTAAGAGTCGTTAAAATTCAAAGTGAATCATCCAATCCTAATCATAATAGACAATTTTTCTATTTCAATTCTAATGTTAAAAAAAAAAAAACATCTAAAGTACAATTACCTTCCTAGTGACAAAGAAAAATAAATAAAAGGCGATTCCAATAATTTGATTAAACTTTTTTTTATCATTAATAATATGCTAAAAAAAATAGCATTACTTCAGCAACGCATTCAAAAATAAGAAACCAAAACAAAGGATAAAACCTTTGCAGTATAACATATAAAAAAAAAATTAGAGACCA